TAGTTAGGAGTTAAGCAATGGTCAAGCATGTTTGATCAAATCGTAGAATAATCGTATTAATTGCCGATGGAGGCAATGGGAGCTGTTTGTTTACATTTCAACACGGCGGTCGTTAATAACAATAACATGTTCTGGATTTTCATTAAATATTCTATGGACACCCTATTCTACGATATGACCAATCGTGCATGACCAGATCGTCAAAAGTTCACGATTTTACGATACGGTCAGATTAGTTGGTAATTTCATATAATGCGACCATTTCATGGAATGGTCAAGTCTACGATATGGTAAAGATAACATAAATCCGCCTTTGGTTTCAAAACTGTTTTAAAAGGACTTAGATAGTTCATGTTCATAATTCAGAGAAATGAAGTGTGATGGTTTTGGCTCCAATGCGTGAATGCGACATTAGAAATACAATGCTGCATTGGCATATTGCTACGCTAAATCAATGCGTATTGGCCGGGGCTCTCCAACGTTGACTGCATTGTGTGAATGCGACATTAGAACTACTATACCCTGTCTCTCAAATTACGATAGGCTGTATTCTCTTTTTTCTTACCTAGTTTCCTCATTTTCTACTTCAGTCAGGCTATCCATGAGCTAGCGAGTTACTATTCTACGTTTGACAACAAATAAAATCCGCATACAAGAATATCTAAAGTCCAGTGATATTATTAATGATTATACTTTGGTCGATTGAAACTGATTCCACCACCACAATCTCATAAGCTTATCTGATTACTTACTCTAGCTTTGAAGAAAGCCGGTTTTCAAAGTAACTTGGTTTTTCTCAGCACAGCATGAAAAGGACTCGTTTTTAAATGAAAAATGATGAATTACTGTAAGACCCATTCAGAGATCGGCTTGAAGTTGTCACTTCAGGGATAGATTAGAAAACTCTGGGAATCCCGATGAACATAGAGCTGTCCAAAGCAGGGCCGGATTAAGGTGGGCACGATTTATAGAATAGCCAGAAATTTTTATATGTTTAAAACATTGTATTGACATAATATGTTCCTGAAAAGCAATTTCCATTAAAATCTGTCATAAACTTTTTTGATGCGTTTACTGACTATTTCATGTATCAGGCATTTAAAAACGTTGAGTTGACACTGTACTTTCGAAAGAACGGACTCATAAGTTGATACAGATTACGTAGATCAGCCAATGTTGATTTTGATTTTTGACATAGTTAACAGTCTTCCTTTTAATACCCTTCCTTTTAAACCTTTTACTAATGCAAAAATGGGGTCAAATAGTTTGACCCTGCACCTTTGGCATGCTTGTATCCAAATTTTGAGTATTCAACACGCCGATATCATGTTCCATCCAGAAAGTTGATAGAATCGTCAAGGCTGCTTGTGTTTTACAAAATTCTATCAAAAACCATGATAATATTATTTTAAATGCAACTAACAATGCAAAAAACATCGGCTTAGTACCATGGCAAAATAAATATACAGTGTAATATTTGTACAATAAAAAAATTAGTAGATACTTGTTTCGTTGAAAAGTTCGTCAAGTTTTGCCCATATGAGTTCGGTTATACTTCTGTTGCTGTACTCAGAGAGTTTATAATTACATAAAGTAGGATTTATCCTGAAAACATGCGGCGTACTTGTTGAATCATCACAGAATGCACTCGATACAAATGTGTCTCTGGTGTGCGTATCCGTGTGCAGATATATGAAATTGTTAATAGTGTCGGACTTTAATGTGGCGCAACAATTGTAGTAATACAAATGTATGCCCGCCCAACTAGCAAAGTAGTGCTATAAGCTTTTGGTAAAAGAACCATTCAGCCATAAAAGCTCTCTATTGTTGTTGCCTGAATACCAAAATGCTGGCTTAATGTTGTGTGGAATGCAAATTTGCCTTCTGCAACATATTTGCTCTAAAATGAGGTGTTTAAAATATTCTTATAGCATAGTTATACAACACCTTATAGGACAAATTTTTAACTGTTGCACTAACGTTTATACAACTATTTTATACGGCATATTTGCACGTTAGTCAAAATGGTTGTGTTGTGGCATCCACGGTAACATTTATAAAACAAATCCGAGCCTTGTTTTTCTGTGCAAATTTACTACTTTAGCCAACAAATTGCTCCCAACGGAACCACTTATACAACTGTTGTTTAGTAACTGTTAAAGGCTGTTCATATGCAACAATATTACAACTTTTGTAGTACAAAATTGCTGTGGTCGGCATACATTTGTTGCTAAATATGTTGGTAAACAACTTCACCATAACCTAACTTTCTGCTGTCATATTTTTGTCAAAATGCCATAACCAATGTTTTAAGAAAAACAACGCATGCATACTGCTTCAAAAGGTTTGATCAACTGTTCAAACAGAAGATATAGGTCTGGTACAAATTCTGGGTAAATCATTCGACTGTGTCGGTATTTCATTTCAGACATTTGTCAAATTGTTGTATAACAGGCAACACCAAAATATTCTAATAAACAAAAGACAACATGGACGATGCCATGCTTATACACAACCACCCGCCATATTGCGCAAACATTTATTCCTGTATTTAATATTAAATAATTATATTTCAGTTCAAAACTACAGATATAAAGTGATGAACATTAGTGTAATTGTGTCTAAATATAGGATTTGTGGAAGATTTAACGCAGACAAGTTCAGTTTTACATCTTAAAAATCTAGTCATACTTTTGATCATTATTAAAATATGAATCAAATACGAAGCCCTTAGAAATTACGTAATTACTTTGCACGATAATCACAATAAAATTTGCGGCGCAAGTAATTCAATAGCCCTATATCACAGTGTAGAAGTTTATCATATACCTGTGTATGAAATTCAGTGTGGCCGATATGTAAGTAAACAAGATGACTGTATTGTGTTAGTTATATATTCTTCACTTCGTCTATACAATACATAAGAAATAGTTTGGTCGCAATAAAGTAGAATCACGTAAAAGAATAGTTGTATAGTTGACGAAAACTGAATCTTGCACTGACGCAAATGTCGTATAGCGGCTGCAAGAGGCTTACACTTTTGTTGTATAACTGTTGCCTGCCGCCCTTATACAACCTCTTAAATGACTGAAGTGTCCTATTAGGTGTTCCCATTCCGCTTGTATAGCTGTTCTAAGAGGGTTTTGCCAATGTTCTTACAGTATACAATGCTGTGTAAGGAATACTGTATAATCATTCTTGCAACTCTAATAGGAGTGATAATTGTTAGTTGGGCCCAACTAGCAAAGTAGTTCTATAAGTTTTTGGTAAAAGAACTGTTAAGCCGTAAATGCTCTATTTTGTTGTTGCCTGAACACCAAAATGCTGGCTTAATGTTGTATGAAATGCAGATTTGCTTCCTGTGGCATATTTGCTCTATAATAAGGTAAAACATTCTTCTAGCAAACTTGTACAACATGTTATAGGATCAATTTTGAACTGTTGCATAAACGTTTATAGAACTATTTTATACGGCATATAAGCTGGACAGTCAAAATTGTGGCTTCTATTTTATAACATTTATACCACAAACCCAAATCTTATTGTCTTGGTGTGAAAAATTACTACTTTAGCGAGCAAGCTGCTTCCATCGGAAGCATTTATACAACTATTGTTTAGTAACTGTTAAAGCAACAATATTACAACTTTTAGAGTACAAAACTGCTGTGTTCGACATAGATTTGTTGCTCAATATATAGATATTCAACTTCACCATGATCTAGGTTTCCGCAGTGAACTTTTTGCCATAACCAACATTTTTCTTCTTCAAACAAGCAACGCTTAAGGTTTTATAAACTAATCAAACAGAAAGTAAAGGTAGTAATTATTAGCAAAGCATCCGACCTTGACCATATTTCGTTTCAAATATATTAACCAGATTGCGGATAACATCAAAACACAAACACAATATGGAAGATGTCATGATTATATATATCCACCCGCCATGTTGGGTGAAAGTATAGGCCTCAATTGAACATCAAATAATCATGTTTCAGTCCGATATTACAGATGATAAATAATGACAAACATTAGCGTAATTGTGTCTAAATATATGATTTGTGGAACGCAAAGAATTATTATCATTAAAATATGAATCAAATACGAAGTCCGTAGAACTTCGCGTCACTACTTCGTACGATAACCACAATAAAATTTGTCATTCCATAGCGTTATATCACAGTGTAAAGGCTTATTACATAGGGAGTTGTGTAAGAAATTCACTATGGCCGATCTGTTACTAAACCAGATGAATGTAATGTGTTGATTTAAAAATATTTTTCATTTAGCCTATATAATACATAAAAAATAGTTTGGTTGCAATAAAGTCGAATCGTGTAACAGCGTGGTTGTACAGTTGACAAATGTTTAATCTTGCACTCACGCAAAGGTTCTTTAGCGGCTGCAAAACCTTTTACACGTTTGTTGTACACGTTTTGCCTGCAGATCTTATACAGCCTCTTAAGTGACTGAAGTATCTTTTCAGGTGTGCCCATTCCGCTTGTTCTAAGAACGTTTTGCTAATGCTCTTGCAAAATACAGTGTGGTGTAAAGGTCAGGAGGAAAGGGTTTAACAACCAGAAGCCACCAACAGGCTGCATTTGTGGCTTCGGTCAGAAGAATTCGTGTTAACAAGGCATCAACTAAAGTCACCAAGGAGGCCAGCTATATAGCTACCTGCCGTGGTACTTCAAGCCCCAGAAAGACCAGTAGTTTTGCGGAAACTTGGTTGAAAATCAAAGGACAATCATGAGCACGTCCCCAATAAAGGAATAGGAGCAGAAATAGAAGGATTGGTAACCCAAGCGACATACATTGATGTCTAGTAAGGCGAGGTGTTCTGACCGACGCCACGAATGTGTCTGCTGGTGTATGTTTGTGGCTTCGAATTGTATTTCTCTTTCTATACTTACGTTTTTCAAGATTATACCCTTATCGATGCACATCCATTTACTAACCTACGTCGCTCGGGTTATCAATCCTTATATTTCTGGTCCTTTCACTTTATTCATCTTCATAGTTATCTTTATATTTATCATCTGGGCATAAACACTATAGTAAGTCAAACATATGTTTCTCGTTTTCTATGATTTTTTACTGTCTGGCATGCATGCACATTCTTTCTTCCTGTATTTGTTTCCAACAGCAGGTAGACATTTCGGAACAAGTTTTATTTCGTAACCGTACTGGACAAATCTTGTCGTCTGTGTTTCACATTTTTGACCCCTCTCGGTATTGCGCTGACATTGTTTGTCTATTATACAGCCATCTCCCATCACTGCAGACAGACCTATACAAGAACAATATTATGGTTTCTTCTTTGCTTTATCAAAACAATCAAATATATTAGATCAAGCTTGTAACGATCTATCTGAATGTGTAATAAAACATAAGCAATTGTGTTTAAGAAATGTCGGTTATTGATTTTTTTCTGAATGGAATGCTTCATATTCTATCCAATACTCGGTATTCTTCCTAGAGAGCAAGATTGATATAACATACAATAGAGTTTTGATGATTGGTTGTTAGGTTATAAGTCATTCAGTGTACAAAAACGATCAACATTCAGAATTTCATTTCGAAAAAATAGCTAATTTATATTCCAGGGTCATAGATTACCCATGAAGAGTTTCAAAATAAGATATTACATGACCTCTCATTCCATTTGAAAAAAATGTTCCAAGACGGCGCCCAGCCAGCATTTAAACTCATTTTACAACAGAATATAATATCCATGCCTTAATTCTTTGAACAATATTGAATCAAGAAATACTACATATTATCACCTGGTTTAGCTACAAGAACCAATCTTTTTGCAGCTGATCCCAGAAGCGGAATTTGAAAACTATTGTGTGTAACCTACGTAATGTTGTAAGACGATGCACAATGCTGATTGGTGGAACCATCTAAGGTCGTGTTTCCATTACTGGAGCTCAGAATCGGATAACGCTGCAGTATTTTTTTGATGATGGCTAAGGAAAACTAGTTAAAACTCTGGGAGTTGTCAAAAGATCTGTGAAAGAGCTTCCGCATTCATCAGATCTAACCGCGCTTGGGCTCCCCTTTGGAAATATTTGGAATAACTTGTATATACGAGTTAACCAAAGAATGTTACCTACTTCGAAGCAATATTAAAGAAACAGCAAAGATACCGCCCTAAATACGTTAGAAAGCACAACACCCAATTTACATTTTTAAGACAAATTCACTTTAATTATTGTGGTTTACGTAGAAACGTTAAAAGGAACGTTTGAACCATTCCGTCAAAATTTGAGCTATGCTCCTTGGTTACAAGGAATATTGATTGTTTTTAAATTCCTCAAAGAATATTTTTATGTTATTCTGATAACGCTTATGGACGCCCTTATCAGTATTATATAAGAATAAGCTACTTAAGAAGAAATACAACTGATTCATGGAAAATTGTTGTTAAAACTTCATAAAACTCACCTAGGAGCAACAAAACAAAAGTAATGAATACATTCCCGAGGCTTAACATTTTTACGGAGAACAAACTATGTGGCAGCGCTATAAAATATCATTACCGGCTGTTATTCTTTGCTGGATATATATTTTTATAGTACAATTAAAATTCCAATTGTAAACAATTAGGTGCTCTATCGCATATGTTTCATATCTGCAAGGTATGACCTCATTCTTTAGTAAAAATAATCAACTCTAATTAAAAATGACTGATCCAGTGCTCCCTAATTATTGATATAGCCTCATTCAATATTTTAGGCAGGTCGGAAAGTTCTAAGCGTAATTAGAAATAAGAGTAATAAAACTTGTCAGACTCCAAAATTTTTGCACTCAAACATGTGAGTTACTACATCCTAAAGTAGAAGGAGGGCAGCAGGGATTTCGAAAGCATCAGAAAACGTTCGGGAGGTTTTCAAAACTACAACCAATTTCAAAAATTATTTGCTACATCTAGAAATTATCAAAATATAAAAAAAGGGATTGTGATATTTTTGAATATTCTATATTTTTCGAAACAACTCCAACGAACTGAATTTTAGAAATTACAAAGGTTTTTCGTCCTGGCCATAGGTGTAAACTCAAGTTGAAGCTTTATAGTGACACTTTCAGAGTTATAGATGAATAAAAGATTATTAGTTTTTTGGAGATTACTCCGCCGGCACTGGATTGATTTTCAAAACTTGTTTTGAGACAGAAGTAAACATTTTTTGAGCGTCCGATTACTACTTAAATTGTTAATATTTCAAAACTCCATCGTCAATTTTCACAGGTTAGTATATTGTAATGACAATATGAGGACTGAACTAAGGGCCGTATCGTCAGTCGTTCCTACAATTGTGAGACGCCTTTATGGCCTCCTTGATTTTCATAGCTTTCTACTGTTCGGTTCTCAGGACTCTATTTTGAGGTTATGTCACAAACATCTATTTGCATCAAATTGTTCATGCTTTTGATTTATCTGTTTTACCAGCCTGAAATTTCCTGCAACTCAAAAAGAAAACATGGCTTTACAATTACATAGAGAGCGCTGGTACTGAACAGTAGAAATCTAGAAATATGCCAGCCTTTCTGAAGGAGAGAAAAGGCTATGAAAATCGAGGACGCCATAAAGTCGTCCTACAGTTGTATATATATACGGCACTAAGGCTTTTTCAATTGTTTAATTGCTCCTGAGGTATACAGAGTGTTTTTTATTTAACCAGCCTTGTGTTAAGAGAACCATGTACCCGCACGTGTACATTCGTATACCCCTCAAGTCTCTGAGAAGACCATAGTCACCTTACAGATCTGAGATTAAGTTTCAAGAAAAATTGTTTTTTTGTTACGATTAGTTACGAAGCTTCTTGACATACGGCAAGGTTTGCTGAAACTTATACTAAGTGACATATAAATCCGAACACCCAGTTTAAACGGTTTTATTTTAATAAAAGTTGGTGAATGTATTTATCTTACTGTAAATAACAAGTGAAAAAATTTTCAGCCTTATCAGTTGGACATTCCGGTTTTTATACTGCTTTTTTTTTAACTCACTAACGCTCTAAAAATGAATATTTTGAGCCGCAGTAAAGAATCAACGTTGGCGGATTTTGGTTCTTGACATCCTTTAAGATCGGTTACGATGCCTAGAGTACGGAGACCTGTACGATTTCGTCAACTTAGTGAGTTTGATAGGGGCCGTATAGTAGGACTTCGGGAAGCTGGACTTTCTTTTCGGGCAATTGCAGTTAGAGTGCAAAGAAGTGTAGACACTGTGGTTAGGTATTGTCAGACATGGCCTCGAGAAGGTCGTACGCAAAGAGCAAGGGGCACTGGACGCCGCCGTAGAACAACAGACCGTGAAGATCGCCGCCTAAGATTATTGGTCTTAAGGGACCGTTTCTCCACTACCAGGTCCATTGCAAATGAATGGTTTGCAGAACACGGAAGACCTATTGGCATGCGAAGTGTTTACCGACGAATGAGATGTTTTGGCTTGTTTTCATACCGGCCACACTGGGTCCTCCCTTTAACTCGAGACCAGCAACGTAATCGCCTTGAGTGGTGCAGACAACGGTCACTCTGGGATCAGGAATGGAACAGTATTGTCTTTAGTGACGAGTCTCGATTTTGTTTAGGCATGCACGATGGTCGTGCCAGGGTTAGAAGGCGACGTGGTGAAAGGAGGAATCCACAGTTTTTTGCTGAAAGACATGTTCATCACACTGTTGGAGTTATGGTTTGGGGTGCTATAGCTTATGGTTCCAGGTCACCTTTAATCTTCATCAGAGGTAACATGAACGCGCAGCGTTATATCCACGAAGTTCTAGAACCCCATCTTTTACCCTATCTTGACACCCTGGCAGATCCAACTTTCCAACAAGATATTGCCCGACCACATGTTGCAAGAGTCACAATAGACTTCTTTCAACATAATTATGTCACATTGTTACCATGGCCACCAAGATCTCTCGACTTATCCCCAATTGAGCACGTGTGGGATATGATGGGTAGGAGATTGCTCAATTTGCAACGTCCTCCTCAGACTCTAGAAGCACTTCGAGAGGAGTTGGTGGTTGCCTGGAATGAGATACCACAGGAGGACATTGACCACCTGATCAGAAGCATGCCTAGGCGCGTTGGAGAATGCGTAGCACATCAGGGTGCATCCACACATTATTAAAGGTCAAAGGGCTTTAAAGCAGTGCAATCATTTTGAAATTTTTATCATTTACTTATTATGCTTCATTAAGTACTTATACAAGATTTTATTAAAATAAAACCATTTAAACTGGGTGTTCGGATTTATATTTCACTTAGTATATTTACAAAAGCAAGATATTGCCTTGTTGGATTGGTCTGGTAATAGCTCCAGGGTTAGAACCCTATATGATATCAAAGAATCCGGTAAAATGTCAACTTGTGCTCTAGGTAGCCGCTAGTTTGCCACTAGTTCATTCTGCGCTTCGTACAAGTTAGTTATAGTGTGTCTAACACTATGGCAAGAGATATAGATACAGGAGGATGTGTATAGAATAAAGTGTTATTATAATTATTAAACGTTTCCCAAACTGAGGCATTTGCAAGTATAGATAGAAAAAAGTGCAATTAAAAATTCTGTAAAGTAAATAGTTACGATATAGGCCTATTCTTGAAGATAGACGACAGAAAGCCAGCGGTTATATTCTGCTGAAAAATTCAGTATGTAGTGCGCGAGCTTATGATGTACACTTGGTGTACAGTGTCTATAACCTTTATACTAGATCATAAATTAATTCATCACTTTGATAAGACTTTCATTTGAGTTAACTAGTTAGAGATCATGTACTCGATGTTACTAACAACTAACTGAAACAAATCACTTTTTCGCAAACCTCGGCCAACAAACTGTTGCATCAGCAGGTAGTGATAACTTCTTTGTCGCTACCTGTCTTCTACTCTTCAGCTCCATGACAGGGATCGGTCTGTTACATACGTCAATGCCTTCATACCCCAGAGAAAAGATTGTTTTTAGTAAGACTACACCGTTAAGATACAAAATTATAAGAGTTCCACCGCACAAAACAACATTATTTAGGTTTAGGCGAAGTTTTTCGTATACTTTAGCTATCATGTATAATCCAATACCTGAAGCGTATAAGTCATATTCTTTGTCTACATTCGGCAACAAAATTAAACTGTTTATAAATTCACTATCCACTTAATCTTATCATTTCTATATTTTGATTTACACATTTTCTGATCTTGTTCTTTTCTGCTTTTTCCCTTAAGATAGTACATAAATTTATGTATTGTGTTACCAATCGTTAACTGATTGGTTAAGTGTAAGAGTAGCGAATTATTATTAACCTTACACAGATACAAAAAAATAATGTTACAAACAAAAATAGAAGGTATGAAATGAATGTTTTACTGAATCAATGATGAGAAGTGAATATAGGTGTATAAATCATATAATTTCATAGTCATGGATAGTTCTCTCAATCCCGAAAACTCCTGAGGCACTCCTTAGCTATCTGGTAGCTGAAGCTTCTTTTATATATTTAGTGGCTTTATGTGTAGAAGGAATGATCAGAACCTTCTATCTAATATGAATATTGTGATACAAAATTGATTTTTTGATACAGGTGATAGGTCATTTTTGTGCAATAATTTAATTGTATAAAGTGATCGCAGAAAGCTTGAATCTGTTATTTATATTGACTCATTTGGTTTCTAGAACTTTTTCAAAAATGTTATGATATCTTCTGATGCCATGAATAAACCTAACACAAAAATTTTGAGCATTTTAAATTTTTCTACGACTTTCTGCATACAAACTGCTTCGGTATATAGGTGAAATGTACGAGAACAGTCACAGTACTAGACAGTTACATTCAATTTTTTACCACCACTTGCGGTGGTAACACAGGAACTTGACTGAAGAATCGACATTTCTCTTCTTTTAGATTCATAAGCACTTTTTCCGGAAATGCAATTTTGAATCGAGTATTAACCCGAGAGGCCAAACAAATGAAGAGTGGACTCTTTCGGATTTAATAATATATAATATTATTTTAATATGCATGAAGGATCATACAAGTCATAGTCAATTTTTCGCTCTACAAAATGTTCATCGTCAACTTTATATTTATATTATATTATATTATATATCGTCATCGTACAAAGGTATATATTTTAGGATGATGCAGATAACGATGTCAATATGACGCGTAGACACTAAATAATAATTTCCCAATTATAGATCCCTGAGGCACCCCCTACAATACAAAGAACAAACTTTGTGGAAGGCGCAGCGCTATAAAGTATCGTTACCGGTTGTTATTTTTTGCTGAATATATATTTGTGTAGTACAATAGAAATTTCATTTGTGAATAACCACCAGATATTCTATCGCAAATGTTTCATACGTACAAGGTACAAGTAGTCTGATCCAGTACTCCCTAATTATGGACATAGATTTATTCAATATTTTAGGCAGGTTCGAAAGTTCTAAGCGTAACTAGAAATAAGAGTGATGAGATTTGCCTGACGGACTCCAAAATGTGTGAACCCCT